TGGGTGATTACGGTTTCGGGGAGAGACATGGCAATGAATGATGATTGAGATGAATAGCTTGAATGTGAGCCTGGAATATATGTTTGGTCCTCACAAAGGCATGATCTGGACTTGAAAGCCCTCGTTAACGTGTGCATTTATATTGATTTCAAGTCAGGGAACAGTCTCGTGAGGCATCTCCCCTTGAGCGAGGTCACGTAGGCTGCTCTACATCGGGAAGGAGATCGCCTTGGCATTTTCTTCTGTAACCAGCCAATTATATGGGAACGCGGCGTTTAGGGGCTGGAAATGGGCTGAAACTCTGCCTTATGCCGGGTGATGAACCCCGATACCCGGAGGTGTATCTCGGGCCGGCTCCGGTGGTTCGAGTCCCAATTTCCTTTTTTGGAAGTCGCAAGTCTTGGCATCAGCAGTCGCTGACGATTGAGAGAGATGAGAAGGCGAGTTATTGGCCAGGTTTTGTGATGACAAATGCGAAAAGGAAGGGAGAGATGACCTGGTTTTGCTGACAAACTATCCGGGCCTCGTTTTCGACACATCGTGAAAGGCCTAAAATCCAAGATATGAGGGCCCATCCAAGCTGTTGAACGGCCCCGGAATAATAACCATCATGGCAACAAGAAGACATAATATTCAATTCATCCATTCACATGAGAAGTCCACCCTTGGAGCCAAATCGGCCGAGGCGCAACGCCGAGTTCACTCCCATGCGGCTCGAGCGGCGCACGCCAAGACGCGGCTACAGAGGGTTATCCAATACCAGGCCACCAAAGCAAATCGCAATAACTGTAATGAGAAACAGCCTTCTGCAAGAGCAGCAGATGAAGGTCAAGTCCCTGTCATCTCCGGCCCCATAGCTCCCCTGGGATGTGGCCGGAGAGACCCCTTCGCCAGTTTTGCGAGGCGCCTCAGTCCGACAGAAGACTTCCTCCTGGATTATTGTAAGTTACATTCGTGGCTCGCCTAATTGTAAAGATATTACCCTTCCCAAGGTCAGACATGTACATAAGATACGAACTAGAAGAGCATATTTTGACCGGATAAACCAGTTTAGATGCCCACAACGTTGTACCCTGTTCGACAATTGAACACAATCAGAGCAGACTTCCCGGAGCCAGTGCACGAGACATAAGCAAGCAGTTCGTACAGCTTGCAGCCACCAGCATCATCGGTCTAAATGGCCTCTTTCTTGTGACGTGTCGGCACCTGTCATACTGTCTGCCACAACAGGGGGCGCATTATGCTCAACTGGCTCTGCAGTACAAAGTCGATTGCGCGCAAATACTCATGCAAGCCATATCCACCCTAGAGACGCAATCTCCGATCAGTGATTCCATCATTACGGTAGCTGTTTTCCTAGCACAAGATGAGGTAAGTTACCTCGACTGCGTATTAGGCTGTGTTCATTTATGGAGTGTTGAAAAATGGCAGATCCTTCTCGGTAATATTCCGTGGGTGCAACAGCATCTGCAGGGTGCGATTCAGATGGTGAAGCACAATGGCGCATTGAAGGAGAAGGGCCACAACGTGTTTCTCTATGACATCATCCGGAATGACATGGCAAACTCTGAGATCATACGGTCAGCGACGCCATTTCCGCAACTTTAAGCTGATAAGCAAAGCTTGATATTGAAGTAGCCGAATCTTGGGCGACACATTGATAGCAGATAGTTCAAGTGAAAGTCGTACAATATGACGAGAACAATACTTTGAGTGGTTCTTATCTGCTCTTGCATTTGTACGCGGTGGAACTGTTGCTATCGTCGTCCTGCCTGCCCCTTTGACGCACACACAGAGTCGTCACCCGTGCCAAGACGGCGGCTCAACCGGTACCGGCGCTGCCGCTGGGTCAGAGAAAGCGGAGCAATGGTGGCTCCGTGGCTCCACTCCGTGATCCGATTCAAATCGCGGGGCCCCGGTTCTCACATTACCATGGAGGTCCTCAGACCGTTTCTCGGTATGCCTAGACGGACCGGGGACGAGGATGGCGATGGCGTCTTCCGGCCCCGAATGACGTGATTAGCAGCCGCGCAACCCAGCCAAGTCCCCGAAATACACGGATATATCCCGACCCGGATCTCGCCGGCTACAAGCCCAACACGGAAAATAAACCGTATTACCAATCCTCCTCCCTAGAAAACCAAAGACCGATCCACAACGGTGTCTTAAAAGCTGAATCTCATGGGGTTGTAGCTGACAGATGTCCCAAACAACGGCGTTAAAGGGGCCACCAAGTCGCGCTGGTCGAATCACGACAGCGAACCCCGCGATGGCGACACACCCCACGCCAAGGGTGGGCGAATCACCAACCCGCCGCAGCACATCATTCATCCTCGGACCCGTCCCAAACCCACTCCCGACGTCTGACAGCCAGTCTGCGATCGAAGACTGCTATCTTTGAGGTCGTACCCAGGTCTCCTGAGCTCTCGCGCGATGGCTAGGATATCGGAATCCGAGTTCGGGTACTTAAATTTCGGTACGGGACCTTGAAAAGGATGATCAGCGTGAAATAAAACTTTTGGAAATCACTCTCGGTCGTTCTGAGGTGGTTCTTGCGTTCTCTCAACAACTCTCTCCCCACGGTTCTCTCAAGTTAACGCCCTGGGTCCCTCAGAAGTGACGCCTCTGCTCAAGATGCCGTCCGAGCACGAGGGCGAGTCCCCCAAGGGGCTGGCGGTCGACGAGTCCTTTTCCGACCGAACTTCGGCAACGTCACCGCACGGCAAGGAGAAGGCGCCATGGTGGTCCTACATCTGGGACTACGAGCCGGGCCGCTCCCACGAGGAGCGCGTGTTCATCCAGAAATTGGATGTTTTCCTGATCACGATGCTCAGCTTCGGATACTTCATCAAGAACCTGGATCAGACCAACATCAGCAACGCTTTCGTGTCCGGCATGAAGGAGGATCTGTCCATGAACGGAAATGAGCTGAACCTGGTCGACACGGCGTGGACTGTGGGTTACGTCGTGGGACAGATCCCTTCGCAGATTGTGTTGACGAAGGTGCGCCCGTCGATCTGGGTGCCGTCCTGCGAGCTGCTGTGGACTGTTTTGACGTTCTGTCTGGCGGCGGCCAAGACTTCGAATCATGTTATCGTGATTCGATTCTTTGTGGGTTTGGCGGAGTCGATCTTTTACCCAGCTGCGCATACTATTCTCGGATCGTGGTATAAGCCGTCTGAGCTGGGCAAGAGGGCATGTATTTTTCATGCTTCCTCCGCGGCAGCGAGCATGTTCTCGGGTTATCTGCAGGCTGGCGTGTACAAGGGGCTGAATGGTGTCCACGGTCTCACGGGCTGGAAGTGGCTTTTTGTGAGTGTTCAGAATGAGACTATGACTGTTGCATTGCGCCAATACGAGTTTAGATCATGGATGGAATCATCAGCCTGCCAATTTGCATCGCTGGGTTCTTCCTCATTCCAGATCTGCCAGAAAACACAAGGGCTTTCTATCTGAATGATAAAGTAAGCCTATCAAACCCCATTCCTCACAACTAGTTGTAGCTGACACGATCCTAGGACCGAGAGATGGCACGGAACCGTATGAATGCCGTCGGACGTGCGCCTCGTACTAAGCTTGGCCTTTCGGCTTTCAAGCGCATCTTTGGTGAGTTAGAATTATGCTCCAGCGAATGACACCGAAAGCTGACTGTACAGGCCGATGGCACGTGTACTACCTCACGATTCTGTACATCATATTCATCAACATTGGACCTTCCAGCAGTGTCAACCCGTTCTCACTTTGGCTCAAGTCCAAGGGAGAGTCTGTCGAGAAGATTGTGAGTCCAGCTTAACTCATGTCATGGACTTCCGTCAAGCTAACATCGCAACTCAGAACATCATCCCCACTGCAGCCTCAGCGATTCAGCTCGTCCTGACTGTCTCCTTCGCAATTATCTCCGACGCCATCCGTCACCGCGCCAGTATCATGTCAATATCTACCTTCCTCGGAGGTTTCGCTGCTCTGCTGTTGGCAATCTGGAACATCCCTGATGGCCTCAAATGGTTCGCCTTCTTGCTTCAGCGTGCTTCCGTGCCATACGGCCCGCTGAGTATGAGTTGGGCAAACGAAATCTGCGGCGCCGATGCGGAAGAACGAGCCATAGTTATCGGCATCATGAACTCATTGGGCTATGCTTTCAACGCGTGGGTGCCGTTGTTGACGTACCCTCAGGTTGACGCGCCCAAGTTCAGGAAGGGCTTTATTTTCAGCACCATTGCGTTTGGAGCGCAGGCAGCTATCACGGCCACCGTGGCGTACCTGTTCAAGAGGGAGAAAAAGAAGACGAAGAGTGAGAGGGATGAAGAGGGAACGGAGGCAACTGGAGATAGGCGTTTGGAATAGACGTGCGCGGACATCACGCGACTAAGACTTTTAGACAGCTCAGATTCTGAGGATAATAACGCAGCCTGTTCTGAAACATTCTGCTACATACATATAGCCCTCATATGCACTCACCTACATGTTGTCTCTTCTATGGATCTTGAACCCTTCATAATCTAGGTCATCTTTCGTCAGAGCTGTAAATGAAGGAAGAGGCTCAGCGCCGTAAGCTTTCCATGATATGGTTGTCAAACTCAGAAGCTTCTGCTCGAAAACGACCCAAAACGATATCATGAAACGTGTATGCAACCGGATATATAAGGTGAAGTGGCGTATAACGCAGATTAATGCAAGAATCTACGTTATCTCTTCGTTCGAGACATAAGTAGGATAGCAAGACTGAGTGCCATGGGGCACAGCATGGTTATCAATAGTTTTAATTGGTAGAGAATGATCTTAAGCGGAACTCTGAGGTTAAGTCTATTGGGGACGCTCCGGCTTGTGCACATCTCTCTCGCCGTCCATCCCTATCACTTTAAGCTGATGAGATACATGTGCTGAACACATGAGAGAAGTGACGCAAAATAATGTTACGGGGGCTGGAATCCATTGATCTCCGCTGTCGTCAAGTTACAGAAACCATCGATCTCCGCTGGCGTCAAATCACCCAACCTAACTCAGGTCATGTCTTCATCGGAGCTGTAGATGAGAGGAAGTGGGGCCGTGCCATCACCCATATCATACTCCTCAACCTCGATAGCCACGGGGTGCGAACGACCTCGAGTGGAACCCTGGGAGGTGCGAGCGGCAGTCTCATGGACACTCTGACTGGACGCAGGACAGGTGGCTTCCTGGGAGACCTCGTGTCCGCCGCCTCCGCCAATACCACTGCCGCTAACGCCACCGGGGAGGTCGCTACCCTGGGCAAAGGCTTGAGCCTCAGCAGATTGGCCGTCCTCGAACTTCTGGAGCTCCTTCATCTTATCCTCGTGGAGATCAGTCATCGTTTTGCCCGCAGCACTAGATTATCATTAGCACGACTGAGCATTTGCTTCATAGATAATTGAGATGACGAGGGCTAAGGGTAATAACGACAAAAGAGACCAATGACGACAGAGATCATGAATGACAGAGATCATGGATGACAGAGATCATGGATGACAGAGATCATGGATGACAGAAATCATGGATAACAGAGATCATAGATGACAGAGATCATAGATGACAAAGATCATAAGTGACAAAGACCGGGGACGACAGGGACGGGGATGAAAGATCAGGGACGATGAAGAACAGAGCCGAGGGAAGACTGGGCTGACAGATGACGTGGCTAACAGAGGACATCAGCCAAGAATGAAGACAACAAACTAGAAAGACAATGAAGCCGGCAAAGAACAAAGACAAAAAATGAGGAAAATGTAAACCATGGAGAAGACGTTGAAAGCGCCCCGATGAGTAATAGGATGGCAAGGGTGATGGGGACGCGGTTGGAAAGGAAAGACGATTGGCAGCAATAAGGCCAGAACAAACGGAAATAGTGCTGCAAGAACCAAAGAAAAAGGTGATACTCACAGTGCCTCAGCAGCCTTTCGGTAAGCAGCCCTTTTGTCGCTAAGAGCCTGTCTCTGGGCATCCTTCGCTTTCTCACGCGTTTTGGTCATGCAGTCCAGCTCATGAGGTGTCGCCGTGGGCTTGTTCTCGTCAAGGACTTGGGTAAACAGACGGACAGCCTCACTGATATGAAGGACGTAGTCGTGGGGTGATCCCGCCAGCAGTAGATGCATCCAGCCTTGGTGGACTATGCTCAGAGCGGGCTCCATCAAAAGTTTGGCAGCCATTTCCTCCGCCTCCTCGTGCTTGCCCTGGTTGTTGACTCGCCAAGCGTGCTTGACGCGGAACTCGAGAATAGCTATGTCACAGATCAGTGAGAACACAGATTATCAAAATCAATAATGACGACTGACCGCTGAGGTTGTCAAGCTCGTTCGCGGGAGTCGCGGTCGCGTCGGTGTTGCTGCTAGCTGGCGACATCTTGGTAGTCGTCTTGTCGCAGGATGTGAAGGTGAGAGAGTTGAGAGAAGGAAGGAACTTGCCCCAGATTTTGATTTCAGCTACGTTACGTTAGAAGTTGTCAACCCAGGAAAGTGCATCCCTTCGCTAACGTCAAATCCCATCGTTCTGCCTTAGGCAGGGTTCCCGATTTGACTGTCTTCTATGATTGACTTCATCGGCATATGACACGTCCAAGAGGCAGCTCATTTATTAGACAATAACTTTTCCTTTTGGTTCTTGTTTCGACCTTCTCATTGTTCACACTAGACCCGCCTTCCTCAGTTTGAGAGTATTCTTCGTTCTGTGCTAGCCTTCCAGCTTCAATTGACTGTCATTCCTGGCGCAACCTTTTATTTTCAACTTCACTTCTCAGATGCCTTCCAGTCTGTGCCGTGAGCGACTCCAATCTTGCATTTGCCATCGGCTGTCTCACGGATCAGAACATCGAAGTCACTTCACAGTACCATACCCGATTTCAGTTTGTTGCCTAGATGTCAAGGACGCTAAACTTAATGTATTCCTTCCCAACGATGCAACCTCAATTATTTCATCGTCGTAGCTCTGAACTGTCAAAATATTTGTTTTCTTGATCAACATCTGAAAAACTCCCTCACAGAACGCCTGAGGCATAATAATCAACCGTGACTTAATAGTCAAACGCCGCACGATTCAGACACTTTCGCTTTCCTGTAATTATATCTTCATCTCAAAAGTTATGGGTGAAGCGACTACACCGTAAAATGGGAGGCATTTGTTGAGATCCTTCCGAAGCATGTTTCCAAGCATGTTTCCAAGTGTGTGCATAAAGCTTCTGGGAGATTGGTGCTCAGGAATTTCCTACATGTTTTCGGCGAACAACTAACCGGCCTCAGAGATCTCAACAGGGAACGGTCATCAGCATGGTTGCATGGGACTCTCGATAACATAGCAATGCATACGGTCTTGATGCTAGAAAACGTCATACGGCTTGATGCGCTACAGCCAGGTTCTACTGGCTTGCAAGAGCCGCTGATCGGCGTCGAGACCGGGCAGATAGACTCAACTCCGCGTATCCGCATCAGACGAAAGATGTGCCCCATCAGACGAACCTCTTACACCAAAGCCATGTCACCCAGTCGTGTTAAAATCAAGCCTCTATTAAAAGAACACATCGACTCCGATCTCACAGCAACGTACACCTACTCCGAGTGAAGTATGAGAATGCCAAGACTCTGCGCCCGGGTCCTCCGGTAGTAAGTTACGCCCGTCGCACAGTGCACACCCCACAACTCGGGTTCCCAATTTTCGGTTTCGCTTTCTCCAATAGGTAACATAACTCCCGAACCACCTAACGCCGCCGCGGAAGAGTCTCCCGCGGGATAGAGACAGGATGAGCCCAGACAACCAACTGGCCAAAACGCTCAAGTAGAGTAATCAGAATAGACACTAAGGTTATCCAGTCTGTTTCTCATATATTAACCACGACATCGAGACGATACTCGCATCAGATTCCGACGTACGAGTAAGCGGTGTATCCTCCCCCCAAAACCTTAATAGGCAAGATGGCCCACGACACCGGGTCGATCACAACGTATAGCGGACTGATTACTTAGTGGATGTCTGTTGGTATAGAGGTCTTGACAAGTTCGTCTCAACTCCTACTCGCTCAACTCAACTCTATCCAACCAACTCACACACACAATAACACAACACTTCTTTTTCGCCACCTCACCTCCAATAAAGTTCTGCCCAACATGCGCGTTAACGTCATCTCCATCGCCATGACCGCCCTGGCCGTCTTCTCGCAAGGAGCCTATGCTGTAAGCTGCCAAAGCACGGCGGACTGCCCCCAGAACTGCGGCGGTTTCGCGGACAACCTGTGCCAGTGAGTTGATTCTACCTTTAGAGATTGGATACCTAATGCTACAGTCCAAGCTAACGTTGTTGCCAAAAGTCTGCCGGGTAACTACTGCGAGTGTATCCCGTACTAAGCCCTGTGCTCGAGTCCGGTCTTGGCCGCATGGCAAGGGCGGACAGGCACGGGCAATTGTCCTCGCATAGTTACTATTTGGATTGAACTTCGCTATCCGGGTGGGTAGTGGGCATGAACGACAATAGGTCGACGACGAGATAGTCGTAGGGATAAGTACGACAGGGAAGATAAAACTTTTAAAATAAAGAATATGTTCGACATAATATGTGTACTCCCCCTCTCGGTTAGTAAGAAGTATCCGCCGGGGCAGCAAAAGTCTTCAGCTACTCTGTTTCAGATGAGCCTCCAGCAATAAACGACTTTAAACTGCATCCCACTTCTTGGTCCCCAATCATTTCAACGACATCAGCAACCTCTTAACTAGACAGAACGTAACCTCAAGGGTCCTTAGAAGCAGGTACTAGGTAGTCTCGAAAGTGTTTCTCGAAATTAACACCCACCTACACCCGCAACCCGTCACGCGGGGTCGAAGGATGTTGCAACTTCCCCAGGATCTGAATCATTGAATCCTTCTAGCATCCAAATGTCTCATCTCTCAACTTGTCCTAAGGACCAATCATCGACAACAGGGTAAGCCCAGCCGAGCCACAAGACGAGCCAATGAGAGGGCAGCGTTGTCGCCGGACCGAATCACCGCCGCCGAAGCCCGCCCGCTGCCCTCTATACTAAAAGCGCCACACATTTCTCACACCTCATCCTTCCGTCTTGTGTGCTGCGGGCGCAAAGCCGTTGGGCAGATCCAGGTGGGTTGATGAGCAGCCATCCTTTCGCGGCCGAACCGAGCCACGTGCCAGACGAGTGCAGCGCCCGTTTGCCTGCCGCGCAGCTTCCACACACACCCAAACGAACATGGCGCTGTGTAAGACCACCATCTCAAGGAATTTGGAGAAGACCCTGGCTCGGAGACCCTGGGGTTCGGCATCTGCTAATTGCGGACTGGAACGACAGCGAGCTCTGCATGCCTGCAGTGACACATGCAGGCGTGTTGTGGTCGCTCAGGCAAACCAGACGAGCTTACTCGCCAGTTGTCCCAGCTGTGCCGTCTCTGCATCTGTCACATGACCATCGCTGCGGCCCGTTTTCGAGCCTCGAAATGTCAGAGGTTAAAGAAGGTCTGCTCGGCCTTGTATGCGTCACCAGCATGTCCAATTACGGCGAGGAGTGACAGGATACACGCTGGTGTGACGACGGAGGATCAGTTGCTTCTCGCAGGACGCGGAACAGGCGAGCCCATCGGGTTGGATTGACTGTTGATCCAGCTGCTCTCATATCCCGTGACCAGACAATACAAGTGGCATGAGCTCATCTCGGACTCTGTTCATGCCTCAGCCATACTTACATGAGTTACGTTAAGCCACAATCGTACCGGGACGCGAAGAAGGGTACAGAGCAGAGGTAACTGGCCGCTTCTCATACCCCCTCTCGTCGAACCGAGACCCCAAGTCTGTCGCATCTTGGTTCCAGAGACAAGAACCCGTCAGGCTGAATGGCATTACGGTAATGGGATCGGACATTGCGTTGCATCGTGTGGTTGGTACGCATGGCGATGAACAGCTAAGGGTGTGCGCAAACATGGGACGAAGAAATTGCTTAACCAGATCGGTAGCCGCCTGCAGATGAAGTTCTCTGGCCCGTTTGACTGGCGTCTAGAAATTTGAGACTGCCAGGGGCCCAAGTGCTCTAGCCTTCAGCTCTGCGTCTGCGCAGAATGCGAGTATTTGACACGCCTCCCGTCTCTGGATCTGCGAAGGGCAATCAGCCTGAATTGCGCTCCCTGGCCTGTGGGGAAACCGACCCCAGTCATCAGACGCGGCTCCGTGTTCCCCAACTTTGGTTGGCGGACAATCAGGCCAGTGGCGTTGGCATTGGTCGAGCCACGTCGACTCACCTGAAGGAGTGGCGGGTCCTGTAGTTGGAGTGGATGCAATCATGAGCTGCATTAGCTTGACAGGGTGGTTCGTTTGCTCCGCTGAGGTACGACCAAAGAACGGTTTTTTAAACTTGTCAATCAGTAGATCTGGTGCTGCAGTTCATCTTGTGGGAACAAAAACGATTGTGGTATTTTGGGTATTGATGCGCCGTATTTTCCTGATGTTCAGCAGTCCGATGTTTGCTGTGCCTCCCTCTTCCCGTCGGCCGAGAAAGCCTTGAGTAACCGCCCTTGTGTCGTGACAATAGCACACCGTGACTCAGAGAGCGCAGCTCTTCGTCGCCGCGTGTTTGGTTATTCCTCAGCCAAAGACGATGCCGATTTTCATGTCCGCAGCAACTTGCTTCCACAAGCCTGGGCAGGCCTCAGTGCCCACCTGCTCCTTGCCATAGGCCCGCATGTCCATCTTTCGCCACACTTCCTGGACAACAGCCCATGGCTTCTCTGTGTTGACTGTCCCCCTCTTAGTACCAAACGCTGTGAAAGCTTGGCGCACTAAGCCGCGGTCCCGGCTGCAGACCGCATGGCATGCAGAGAAGAACAATGGCCACAGCATGGTGAGCCCGGCTCCACCGTGAGAAACAGATGCCGCGCAATGCCACAGGGCTGCTTGTGCGTGCTTCTGCACTAGATCGTGCGATGATGGGTATTCGGAGATGGTGCTGTATAGGTAGACCAGCGCGCTCTGCCTATATGCAAGCGCTGTGCTGGTGGTCCATCTAACGTTGGCGAGTTCCGTCTCGGATGCATCTGCAGGCCCATCAACAACCCGGTTGACAAGATTAAAGCTTGGAGGTAGAGTAGGCTTCCATGACTCCAGAGCGTATTCAATGGCCTTGTAAGTGGTCTGATACTCGGTCCGAAGGACAGCAAACTTCGATGCCTGGCCTGTGGCCATGGCACTCTGAAGTTCCCGCTTCATGGTAGTCAATTCCCCCAGGCGATGCAGCGTTGGCCAAAGGTCTTCGGCCATACCCAAGACAGGGTCGACTCCGCTAAAGGTAAAAGGGGGTGGGGAGCTCCCCGGTGAGTATGCTCGATTGGCTTTAGCTGCGGCAAACATTGGGGTCGAGCCGT